CCTACAGTCCAGTTAGCGTTTGTACATGGAATGAAGGAGGGCCCCTCTCTTGCTCTTTGCCTCATTAAAATATCTTGGGCCATCCCTACCAGTGACGGGACCTCATTCATGCATACAAGGAACTGAGCTACTGAATGTTCTGCCACCAAGATTTAGTTCTTCCCGGTGGTGTAGCAGAGCCGCACTTTTGAGTGGCAGGAGTTATGATGTCATCTGCTAATCCCATCAAGCTTCCAAATTCCCTGAACTCAGCTGCAGTACCACAGTAACTAGAAGAGAAGTAGATCTTGCCAATAACATTGTACAATGGTGCCTCGCATTACAACGTTAATTTGTTCCAGTGAAATCTCTGTCTTACGAAAACGTCGTAATGTGAAATTTAAAAACCCATAGAAATGCATTAAAACCCGATTAATGCGCTCCTAGGGGCTTGAAACTCACCATCCAGCAAAGATCCTCCATAGCGCAGCAATTTTCGCTGCCTGTGCAGCGAGGAATCCATCCCAGAAAAGAGCGGGGAGCCATGTTTTTTACCCGGCGACCATTCTGAAACCGCCGATCAGCTGGTTGAAAATCATTGCTTTGCGAGAATCAGTTCCCGAAGCAGGGAACTGATCATCGCAAAGCGAAATTCCCCCATAGGAAACATTGTTTTGCTATCACTTTTGCGATCGCGAAACCTTCAACGTAAAGCGATTTTGTCGTAAAATGGAGCACTCGTAATGCGAGGCACCACTGTATTGATACAAGCTGTGTCTGTTGGAATATTCTAAACAAACCAACACTGGCTTTATTCCCACCTCCAACAGATTGCACCCAGGGAAGTGGCTTGTGGCTCTGATCATCAGCTTCTCATAACAAAATTCAAGCTTAAACTGAAGAAAGTAGGAAAAACCACAGGGCTAGTCAGGTATAATCTAAATCAAATCACTTATGAATACACAATGGAAGTGAAGAACAGATTTAAGGAACTCAATTTGGTGGACAGAGTGCTTGAAGAACTTTGGATAGAGGCTCGTAACATTGTACAAGAGGCAGCAACAAAAGCCATCCCAAAGAAAAGGAAATGCAAGAAAGCATAGTGGCTGAACACAGACTTCCAAAGAATAGCAAGGAGAGACAAGAGGGCCTTTTTGTGTTCCTTTGCACTAAAAGGAACATTTTATGCAAAGATGGACATGATAAAGGACAAAAATGGTAGGGACCTAACAGAAGCAGAAGACATCAAGAAGTGGTGTCATGAATACACAGAGGAACTATACCAGAAAGATCTGGATGTCCTGGACAACCCAGATAACGTGGTTGCTGTACTTGAGCCAGACATCCTGGAGAGTGAAGTCAAGTGGGCCTTAGAAAGCATGACTAACAACAAGGCCAGTGGAGGTGATGGCATTCCATTTGAAATGTTTAAAATTTAAAAGATGGCGCTGTTAAGGCGCTACACTCAATATGCCAGCAAGTTTGGAAAACTCAGCAGTGGCTAGAGGACTGAAAAAGATCAGTCTACATCCCAATCCCGATGAAGGGTAGTGCCAAAGAATGCTCCAACTACCGTACAACTGCACTCATTTCACACGCTAGCAAGGTTATGCTCAAAATCCTCCAAGGTA